CTGCCTTCCCTCTAGTCTTACACTACTAAATTAGGGACGGCTAGTGCAGATAGCCCTCGTGTAGTTTTGCCCGAAATTCAGAACAAACAATCGTTCTTTGTATATCTGTTGAGTAACAAAGTATCTAAAACTGTGAAATTGAAGAATACGCCATTCACAGGAATAAAATTTGCCCTAATATCTGACCTACTTATGGTCAGATTGTCGAGTTTTGTTTTTTTATAAACAGCTTGTGAATGCTAAACATGTCAGGCTTCGGTAACTGTTTTACTTGTTTATCCTCTCTTACTTAGGAAATGTTTCAAAGTTATCGTAAAATATATACACCAGTAGCGGATTAAAACACCTCGGGAGCCCCGGGACAGTAAGTAACATGGTGCCCTCTCATGCATAATTATTTTTATCGTGCAAGACCAGCGTTGCTTCACGCATAAATATACACCTTGGTCTGTAGATATGTGTGTATATTTATAATCAAATTTATTTTTTTGTATATTTTAATTATTAATTCTATATTAAAAACATAAATCTTGCTTGAAGAAATAATTCCTAATTATAATACACTTTCAAATAGAAATATTCAAAAAACCCATTTCCTTTCAAATAATTCTTTCTTTTTCAACAACAATCTTGACATATAGCATCCTATCCTAAATATTTGAAGCCCCCCATCTAGATCACGATTATCTAGGCAGCCGTTCCCCTTAATCCGCCTTTGATACACACTTTCGTAACTCTATATAAGATTAAACATTTTTGCCACTGTATTGTCGCTTGCAAAAAGTTAGCTTTGAATCCCTTGAATATTATAAGAGACTCGTAATTTATTTTATAAACATAAGCCTAAATGAATGCTATTTATTAATTATTGTTTTTATCAAGTAACCTACATATCATTGTATAGAAAAAATATATATAAAAAGAGCATTATATTTGGGAACATAAAGAAAAAAATAAATCTATTGTTATTTTGTCCGAAAGCGTCTGTATACAAAAAATATTGCTATTTAGAGACATTTGATAAAGATGAAATACATAATAAATTAACACGATAAATGTTTATGGTATAAGCTGACCATTTTGTTCTTATGAATTATACGGAGATTTACTGATGAAAACCCTTTATGTGAAGTATTTACACTGTTCTGTGGAGAAAATTTAAACTGTTTTTGTTCTTGTGAAGTTTAGAAATAACTTTGGTGTTTGATATTGATCGTGATGTGCGCTTCATGTGTTATTGAAAGTGTGTAAAACTTTGATTGATAAATAAATGTCAGGTATAATCATTAAATAAGACACTAAGTAATCTTATGTCTAGGTAAAGACGTGTTACAATAAAAGTTATGATTTAGACACTTTCTAATGTTTTGGCATTTTCTTTGTTTCAATTTCTGTTGTTTATTTAAATTTCACGTTGAAAAATTACGTACCTATTCTTATTATGCTTTAAATGCAAAAACAGTTGTTGTTTTTTCTGAACTGAAGAGTTCATTTTGAAGTATTTAATACGTGTAATAATAACGATTCTACCAAAAAAAGATGAAAAGTTATAAAGCTAGAATTCAGGGCTCGATTCCCTCGGCAGACAAAGCTCAGCCAGCATCTAAGTAATTCTGTAACTTTTCATTAAAACCCAAACAATAAAAAGGGAAACATTACGTTTTCCCTTACTGTTTATCTTAGATCCATCATTCAGCCAGACACCAAATTGCTATACATTTAGATAATGTCCTTTGTTCAATTTGAATGAAACAAAGAACTGTTTTTCTCAAATGAGTTCGATTTAGGTAAAGTTAATACTCAAAAAAAAAAAAAGTAAAGAGGCATTACCAAAATTTTATTTGTCTTTCCTAATTTTTGAATGAAAACTTCTGTTTAGTTGAGTATTTAGTGAGGTTATGTTCAGTTATAATTAGTCTATTTTAAAGCAAACACATGGGGAATTCTAGTAGAAATAATTGTTGGATAAAGAATCACCTCAAGTGTTTTAGTAAAAATATTTTTTATTCTCAGGTAATAACAGTACTCTGTTTCAATGAAATATATATTTAAATATAGGACCTATATACTTAAATGTATTTAAATATTTAATTACTTAATCTTATAATTCCGACGGTGTCCACGATTCCCCCGCATCGAATTTTCAAACACATTTCTTCCAAAGTATTTCATGACTTTATTGGTTCAGGATCCTTAACAATATGTGGATCACACTAAAATATGTAACAATAATGCAGTCAGTATCGCAGTTAATCCCAGTAGTTACCGCTGGGATTTTCTCCAGAAAATAGATGATTCTACCCAATGGTAGTGAATGGTAGAAAAACAAGTCGATAATTTAAGGGTTAATCTAAACATTGTTAATCTCTCAGGATAAACTACACAGAGAATTATTGTCCGTACTTTTAATAATGTTAATCTCTCAGACTAAACTACACAAGGAATTCTTGTCCGTGCTTTTAATATTGTTAATCTCTCAGACTAAACTACACAAGGAATTCTTGTCCGTGCTTTTAATATTGTTAATCTCCCAGGATAAACTACATAGGAAATTATAGTCCATGTTTTCAATATTGTTGATCTCTCAGGATAAGCTACACAGGAAATTATTGTACGTATTTTTAATACTTTTAATCTCTTGGACTAAACTACAGAGGAAACTCTTATCCGTGTTTTCAATATTTTTAACCTCCAGGATAAACTACAGAGGAAAGTTTTGTCCATGTTTTCAATAGTGTTAATCTCTCAGGATAAACTATACATAGAAAATTCTTATCCGTGCTTTCAATATTGTTAATCTATTGGGATAAGCTACACAGGAAATTATTGTCTGTGTTTTTAATATTGTTAATCTCTCAGGATAAAATACACAGGCAATTATTGTCCGTGCTTTCAATTACTTCTATTATTTGTTTGGATTACAAAAAAAAAAAGCTCAGGCTATACCATTGATTCTTCTTTAAACTATTTTATTTTAAGACAAAGATTTGGGAATCATTGCGAGTCATTCTTCTGCTCTGAAGAATATTTCAATATGGAACCCTCATAAATCAGGAGAAACCAAAGTTTCAATAGTAAACACTGTAAACGTTTCAACAGTAGACATTGTAAACATTTCAACAGTAAACACCGTAAACGTTTCAACAGTAAAGATTGTAAACGTATCAACAGTAAGCTCTCTAAGCGTATCGGAAACACTATCTAAGTCCACCTACAGAAACTATATTATTTCTGGAAAGTATTTTAAATGCCAAAAATATCATTATTTCCTTAAGTAATCTGACTATTAACAACTCTCGAACATAAATAAGTTAACTAAATAACTTAAAATAAATTGTAACTTGATTGATAAAACCTGTCAGTAGTAATAAACTGCACATATTAAACTTAGTGTTTATTATTGAAACAAGAGGGAACCCTCAATAGCCGTGGCAGTAATTATATCTCAAATCGGTCAAGAGATGGAGCTATGAGCTAAAAGTTTGTACTTGAAAAAGAAACCAAAAAACTCGAAGCTATTGTATGAGACGCTATGCCTCGATTAACAATTAATCTCTGAAGGGCAATGTTGTGCTTCTCAGCGCAAAGAATCATGTTTTCCTGAAATGAAATTTTAAATCTTAACTGTCTGTTTATTACCAAAACAATGAAATTAGGTTAAACATGTTTGTTACACATTTTAAACATTCCTAAACATCCAAAATCCATGACCTATCTATTTGTATATCTCGTCATATAAATATTAATTCTAAACGATTACAAAACACGTTAGGCCTAGCATGGCCTGGTGGTTAGGGCACTCGACTCGCAATCTAGGTTTTTAGAATCTTACTATCAAACATGTTTACCCTTCCAGCCGTGAGACGTTATAATGGATCACATTGTTCATTGATAACAGTATCCAAGGAGTTGACGGTGAGTAGTGCCTTCCCTCTAGTCTATCATTTTTGAATTATTGACGGCTAGCACGAATAGTTCTCAAGTAGCTTTGCGCAAAATTCAACAAACAAACAATGAAAAAGATGTTATTGTT